AAGATCCAACCTTATGTCGAGACACGATGGGAAAACGAACGCAAAGAGTCACGTAGAGCGCCTCCCCACAGGAACTCGTAGATCCGACAAGGCATCATATCCACTGCGGTAGTGGGGCACGGATACTGGGAAGCTTCAGGCGCCGGTCCCATTCTTCTCTGGCTCGAGCTTCCTTCCCGTGCGAGTCGGCCAGGGCCTCTTGTAGCTTGCGCATGTCTAGGAGGATGCGTCGGTTTTCCACCGGACTGACTTCGGGTTCAAATTCATGCTGCAGGATCAGATCATCGGACACCTCGCCTGCCACGGCCGCGAGGTCGTCGAAGATTTTGAGGCATGTGCGGAAGAACCGGTTCTCATCTTCCTGGCGCTTCCATTGTCTCCATTTCTCTTCTAAGGTGTCTCGCAACGAACGGGGATGGTCCTTTTTGGCATTTCGAAGCCGCACAGAGGTCGTTTCCAGGGCCATGGTTGTTCCCCGGGCCAGCGCAATTTGATGGTCGATCAGATTGATTTCCGGGAGGTCATGCCTTGCAGGAGAGTCGGCTGGTCTCCTCCCCTTGCGCAGGATGGATAGCGGGGGAACCGGGGCGACCTCAGGTTCTCGACTGTAGATGCTCGATGCTGCATCGTTGGCTGCTCCTCTCGTCCATATTGCAGACAGCGGCATGGCTCCGTTGGAGATTGGATTTAAAGTAAAACTGACCGCTTGTGCAGACGAAATTGTGGAGTACCGATCCCGATCCAGCAGAATTATATATACTCGGGGGGTGTGTGAGGTTTGGACTAGGTGTATGCGTGCAGACACACTCAGAAGACGGACTAGCGTGAGTCTTCCTTCACTGACACCTCGCGGGACCCTCATATTTCGGGCTCGGACATTAGCCGTTCGTTGGTTAAATCACGACTTTCTTTTCCTTGACCAGACCGTGTGAAATCTTGCTCATGCTCCATTTGCTGGTACGCGGACAAGAACGTCAATTGGGTGTCGAGTGCTGCTGCCGAGCGTAATTTTTTGTCCGTGGAACAGGCCTGCCCGATATACAAAGGACGGTTTACCCACCCTAACATCCCCCAGTCCTTCTGCAGACCCAGAAGGCGATCCCATATTTCAGACGATTCTAAGCCGCTTTCAGTGGGCGTCAATGTGCACTACTTGACACAATTGGCACCGTCATTATTGATCGGTATATGTGTGCGCATTCGCCCCAGAAAGAATATAAATTACTACGGTAGAGAAACTAGAATTGAAGAAGCTGCGTAAAGTCACCGGAGCCGGGTGCAATGTCATGATAGTTGTCAAATGCACCCCCTCCGTCCTCCTGTGTAGGCCACATATCCGACGCCGCTGTCGTTGCCGGTAGAGCATTTCTCAAGGCGGCAGGATCCGCATTTTCCGGTAAACCAGCAGGGCTCCAAAGTCGCTGGTGCCAATCCGTAACGCTATGCTGCATTTCAAGCACCAATTGTTGAGTTTCCTGCCGCTCGGAAAGCTGTTGTCTCCACCGATGCTGGTCGTTCACCAGCTTCTGCTTCTCACTCTGGACGCCTCGAAGGCGCTCCGACAGGGTCTCCTTGTCCCTCTCCAACGTTTCAATTTCCCGCTCCAGGGTTTCGACTGTAGCCAAACATGCCTCGTGATCCTCCAGCGATGGGGCAGAAGGAGGGTCTCGAGAACCAGAACCAGATACCTGTGGCAGCTGGTGGGTGCGTGGAGTCAGCGGAACGATCCGGGCCCAGTAACCGTAGGTGAATGCTTACCGTGGATGGGTGTCGACGGGACCGCAGAGGCTGCTGGGGAGAACGCATTACGGGCTCCGGTCTTTGGAAACATCGTGGTTCGGAAGCGGCGGTACTGCGACTCGAGGTCTTCCGGGTGCTTGCGCGGATGCCCGCCCGCGGTTCTGACTTTGGCATTTCCCGATGACAACAGAACTCGTAGAGAAACAACTGCGCATGTACCGTGCTGAAGGAAGAATTAGCTGGAGAAATTCAAATGCCTGCGAGCAAGCCTGGAAAGAGAGAGTGAACGCCGTTGGCTATGGCAGGTGGGTTTTAAGCAACAAGATTAGCCAAAGCAAGTTAGGGATAACCGCCCATTGGTTATTTTGGCCACATGACCCGGTGGCACTATGGTTGACCAAGTGAGACAGAGTAATGGTTGAGGTCTGCGACAACCTGCTTTGCTGCGGATCCAAGCACCATGGGGTATTTGCCCAGAGCGGTCAAATGTCTAAGTTAACCTTATTCGCTCTGATCTATACCAGAGTTCATTTAGTCTGTGGTCTCTGAAACTGACCCACCTGGTCCGTGGTTCAAGGCTCCCTTCCCTCATTCACACCATCGCACAAGGTAGTATTGACCTGTGGAACTCGGACAACCCCTGGGCAATGAGGCATGTTGACCGGTAGGTGACGTGGGTAAGTTGCGGGTAACTGTTGCATCAATGCGACGGCATTCACTAGGGTAACAAACCCAGGGCAACGATCCCTCCTCATCTAAGTGAACTAAGTGTTCTGGTCTCCCTCCTCTTTCTCGTAGCCCCGCAGTGCTGTACGACAACTCGTGAGGAACAACCATCAACTCCATGGTCGTTCAGACAGAGTCTGCTCAGCTGTTTTGATAGCAAATCCCATAGGAGGCTACGGCGTCCAAGCACCTTTAGACTGGGTACTGCCGGCAGCACCATGTCGGTCAGGCATGGTGAACCATAGTCCGCCGGTGTTTTGTGCACGCATGACTGGGGTCGTTCCCGCTGAATCCATCAACAAAAGATCCTTTCTACGTAGCTGGGAACTCACAATTTCTCGGCCAGTGGGGGAGGAATATGAGGGTTAGATCGAGAGGTGTAGATTCGGCCGTTAGGCATCTCCAACATGGTCTAGCTGCGAATTGCGTACAGCCGCCAGAAGTCATTGTGGCGGCGGAGGACGCTATTGCGCCGCCTGCGGATCTGTTCTTGCTTCACACGGTCCCGATAAGATATCATTAGCACGTACCGCAAAATTATCGCTACTTAGAATCCAGTGCACATATTTTTTGGGTTATATAAATCTACAAAGATTGTGTTGATGGTGGCCTACCAGCTCAAAATCAAAAAGTCTGCTTACTATGAATCTTGCACCCTTGAACACAGGCATCTTTATGGAGGGCATCGCGGTGCAGAAAGAAGAGGTCTAGTGAGCTATCAATCCTATGCCCATGCTAGCCCTCAGAAATCTGCGAAGTACCGGGGCTATGTTCATATAGCGGACCCCGGGCAGATGCGACCCCGTATCTGGGCTCGGTTCACCTCATGGACCCTGGTAAGTCCATTTTCAGCGCTTTTTACTGTATGGCCGTTGTGAGAGGATGGCCAGTCAGAGGGCACCAACCGGGATGTTTTGACGGCTCCCTTTTCAGTTCTGTCTGTCACTGCAGCTCGCCTGACTTCAGTTCCTTTTCTCCTCCTTCCTCACGGTCCTAGCCATTCGCCCCTCTATGTTGTAGTCTTTCTTATTCGGGCATCTTATGAATGTCTTGCGTCTGGCTCCACATCCACAGAAAGAGCCTGCTGTCTGTCGCTACGAACAATTCTGTTGCGAGGGCTGCTGCCTCTACATCCTCCACGCCGCCGTGTGGTTGCTGATACTTGCTCGCCTCTTTATCGCTTCATCACCAATCCCATAGGATTCACCTTGTCGCCTGCAAGGTCATTATTTTCTCGCAATCCTAGATTTTCTGCCTATCGGCGCTCTAGTCGACACTCTTCTTCGTGCCCGGCCGCTGCAACTCCCGGTGTCACCACGAGCATCTGTCCTAGTCAGGCACCCGTCCGCTCTCTCAGCTCTCACATTATACACTCAACCAGACCCCGTCGTATACGTCTCCGTACCGACCAGATGGGTTTGAATGGAGACGCAGGCGCCAAGCGCAAGTGCAGCTCTATCACCACACCCGCTGAACGGCCCGTAAAGCACCTTCGCCCCGAATCGACCGCATTGACACCTGGGGATTCAACTCCTGCCAATGGGACTGTATACGATGTGGAGGATGATGAAGATGCGGGTCGTCTGCTGCCTGTAGGGCCTGCTCAGGTTAACTCGCCGGAATGGCAAGCTACCTTAGAGGAGGTTGTGGAGAGCGTTGTGTCTATCCACTTCTGTCAGACATGCTCCTTCGACACCGAGCTGTCCATGAGTAGTCAGGCTACTGGGTTTGTGGTAGATGCAGAGAATGTATACATATTGACGAACCGACACGTGGTTTGCCCAGGGCCTTTCTGGGGATACTGTATCTTTGATAACCACGAGGAAGTATGTTGTACATTACACATGTGGACCGCCTGATGACAGTGATGCTGATTCGGATTTGTTACTAGTGCGACGTTTGTCCTGTGTATCGGGACCCTGTTCACGACTTTGGAATTTTGAAATTCGACCCGAAGGCTATTCGATATATGAAGTTGAGAGAGCTGAAACTGCAGCCGGATGCAGCTAAAGTGGGATCAGAAATTCGCGTTGTGGGTAATGATGCTGGAGAAAAACTGAGTATTCTGTCTGGTGTCATTAGTCGGCTGGATAGAAACGCGCCCGAATACGGCGATGGCTACAGCGACTTCAATACGAATTACATCCAGGCCGCCGCAGCAGCTAGCGGTGGAAGTTCCGGCAGTCCTGTACTTAACATCGATGGCCATGCGATTGCTCTGCAGGCCGGTGGTCGTGCAGACGGTGCAGCGACGGATTATTTCCTCCCTCTGGACCGACCGCTACGTGCACTGGAATGCATCCGTCGCGGAGAGCCTGTCACGCGGGGAACGATTCAGACGCAGTGGATCTTGAAGCCGTTCGACGAGTGTCGCCGGTTGGGCTTGACGCCTGAGTGGGAGGCGACCGTGCGTAAAGCAGCGCCCACGGAAACCAGCATGCTGGTGGCCGAGATCATCCTGCCCGAAGGCCCGGCGGACGGAAAGCTCGAGGAAGGAGACGTGCTCCTGCAGGTCAACGGGGAGCTTCTCACCCAATTCATCCGGTTGGATGACATTCTGGATTCGAGTGTTGGGCAGAAAGTGCATCTGCTGGTTCAAAGAGGCGGTCAGAATGTGGAGATTGAGTGCCAGGTTGGTGACCTGCATGCCATCACGCCCGACCGGTTCGTGACGGTGGCTGGAGGCACGTTCCATAACCTGTCGTATCAGCAGTCGCGGCTGTATGCCATCGCTACTCGCGGTGTCTATGTCTGCGAGGCTGCCGGCTCCTTCAAACTGGAAAACACCCTGTCAGGATGGATCATCGACTCGGTGGACAAGCGGCCCACGCGCAATCTGGATGAGTTCGTGGAGGTGATGCGAACGATCCCCGATCGTTCGCGCGTGGCCATCTCGTATCGGAATATTCGCGATCTCCACACCCGAGGCACCAGCATCGTCTATATCGATCGACACTGGCACCCGAAGATGCGACTGGCTGTGCGCAACGACGACACCGGTCTGTGGGACTTTTCGGACCTTGCGGACCCTATCCCGGCTCTTCCTCCGGTTCCGAGGAAAGCTGATTTCATTCGACTCGATGGTGTTAGCCAGCCTGCTGCGGCTGACATTGTGCGCAGCTTCGTACGAGTATCCTTTACAATGCTTCTGAAGCTGGACGGCTACCCCCAGTCCAAGAAGACTGGGTTCGGATTGGTCGTCGATGCAGACAAGGGTTTGGTGGTTGTGTCGCGAGCGATTGTGCCGTACGACCTCTGCGACATCAACGTCAAGGTGGCCGACTCCATCATCGTGAACGCTAAAGTAGTTTTCCTGCATCCGCTCCAGAACTACAGTATCATCCAGTACGACCCAAGCCTGGTGCAGGCGCCGGTTCAGAGTGCCAAACTCGCCACCGACTACATCAAGAAGGGACAGGACACGATCTTCGTGGGATTCAACCAAAATTCCCGGATTGTCGTGGCCAAAACCGCCGTAACCGATATCACCACCGTTTCTATTCCAGCCAACGTGTCCGCACCGCGCTACCGCGCGATCAATCTGGACGCCATCACTGTAGACACCGGACTCAGCGGGCAGTGTTCCAACGGCGTCCTGGTTGGCGAGGATGGAGTGGTGCAGGCATTGTGGTTGAACTATCTTGGAGAACGCACGTCTAATTCGCATAAGAATGTGGAATACCATCTAGGATTTGCGACTCCATCTCTCCTTCCTGTCCTGTCGAAGGTGCAGCAGGGAGAGATGCCGAAATTACGGATTTTGAACATGGAGAGCTACGTGGTCCAGATGAGTCAAGCTCGTATCATGGGCGTGTCGGAGGAATGGATTGAGAAGGTGACGCAAGCTAACCCATCGCGGCATCAGCTCTTCATGGTGCGCAAAGTCGGTTGCCCACCGCCTGGGTTCAACTCGGCAGCCGACACGTTTGAGGAAGGCGATATTATCCTGACCTTGGACGGACAGCTGATCACCCGCGTCTCGGAGTTGGATATCATGTACGAGAAGGATATGCTGGCAGCCCTGATTGTCCGAAATGGTCAAGAAATGCGTATTCGGGTGCCGACTGTCCCAACAGAGGACCTAGAGACTGACCATGTGGTCGTGTTCTGTGGTGCTGTGTTGCAGAAACCGCACCATGCGGTCCGTCAGCAGATTTCCAAGCTGCACAGCGAAGTCTACGTCAGCGCAAGAGTATGCCCTCTCCCCCTTTACCACTGCTATCTAAGTCACTAACCACCCATCCATTCTACAGAGTCGCGGATCCCCCTCCTACCAATACGGCTTGGCCCCAACCAACTTCATCACCGCCGTAAACGGCATCACAACCCCGAACCTGGACCGCTTCTCCGAAGAAGTGAGGAAAATCCCCGATAACACATATTTCCGCCTACGGGCGGTGACCTTCGACAATGTGCCGTGGGTAGTGACCATGAAGAAGAACGATTATTACGTATGTCATCATCCTCTACACCTTATCCTTCTTATAAACGCGTAGAACTAACATTAATCTCAGTTCCCCATGTCCAAGTATATCAAAGGCCGATCCCAGCCCTCCGGCTGGCGGACAGTGTGTCACGACAAGGATAAATATAAAGACGGCATTGCGCCGGATGCTGCAAATTTGAACCCGGATGCTATGGACGAGGGGTTTGACGGTGTCAGTGATATTGACCCGGATTTGGAATGATTGGAGGCCGACCTATAGTATTTCGTCATGAGCATGGCTGTGTTAGATATGAAAAGTAGAAATTGAAAAATGGGAAAATGATAGATCCTAAACGATAGAGACTAGTAGCTTTGCGTATACGAAGTTGTAGATGGATGGTATTATTCTGGGTGAATACTTGGTATGAAGTGGCTACCCTGCTGAGATATTATTAGAGTTAAATCTCTGGTATGTTTGGTATTCGTCCCATAACACGCATTTAGTATCATGTACCCCGTATATAAACACGTATTACTTGACAATCTATGTCTCAGAGAATGGAGGATCAAATGATACACAGGGGAAAAAGGAACATATCCTAATGAAAAGAACACAATTTCAGAGGTGATATTTGAACAAGTTGGACCAGACTAATTGCATGAGAGATAGATACCCCGTCTCTGTTCACACAGCGCTAAGGTACTGGACTAAAATACTTCTCTGGAAACAACATGTCCAGATCATTGTTTCTTCCTTCTTCTAAAGCACCTGGCCACGGATGTGTCCAAGTCCGAGCCTGATCCTGGGTTGGTTTTCCACTTGCGTTTCGCCAGTCCATCTCATAGCTATATCCGTGTCCGTGCGTTTATAATAGAAGCACTTCTCGACATCGAGGACAGTTTGCAATATGTTGATGGTGACGAATATGGAGATTCTTCGCATGAGGCAGTTGTTGGTGATGAAGATGACGAAGTAGCTGCCATGTAACCTAAAGACTTATCGGCTTTTAGGCACTTTCACACAGGATACAGAAACATAGTATCCAAAGACATAAGAAGAGTCAAGATGATGCAAAAGCAAGAGATATGCCCAGCAAGATCAATTCCATTCAGAAATGGAAACAAAGAGGTATCGCAAGACAACAGAGATATCCAACTTCAAAGACGTGAAAGTGTGTGTACAGTATAAGATCAACACCAATCACCTCCTAGCATACAATACCCCTTCCAAAGGGATCCACAGCCCGTGAAACCGTTTCACCCCTGATCATATTCCTATTCCCCTTAATGCTAGCAAGGCACATCTTCAATGCCCTGAGATCCCAGTACCGTGCTGTAACGACCTTAGTGCTAAGCACCAACCCCCAACCATCTCCATCTCGGCCGTTTATCTCATACCCACACATATCCACCTCCAAAAGAACTAGCCCCTTCATCTCCCGCAGCACTCAACAGCACGACACAGAATGCTACATGTCATAGCGTCTTGCCAAAGTGTCTTAGCCCGCGCCCTTACAGCACTAACCGAGACGATTCCGAGCGTGAAAGACCGCAACGGCGCATCTGGATGGACAAGAGATGGACATAATTTCGCTGTCATGTCTCTGCTGCTAATCTGACCGGATAAATTGATTGATAATATAAAGGGCGTGCACACGTGTCTGAGGAGACTGAAGTTCGGGGTTGGCTCGCACCCGAAGAGTGATGATATCGAGGATGTGTAAGAAAGTTGTATATAGCGAAGAAGGGGCTATGCTCAGCTGTAGCGGAATAAGTGGTATCATCATCACTGTCGTGAAAATGGGAATAGTGGTATTGGATTTTGATATTTTTTGTTGGAGGGGCGTAGACATCTAGACAGTAGAGGAAGTTGGCTAGGTGCCGGGAGAAGTTCCCTTGGACCGGTGTCCTGTTATATATGGTGTGGTATTCCAAGCGGAGGAGGCGGTAAGGAGGTTGACCCATTGTTGGATGATAGCGGGTCGAGTTAGGAAGTGGTCCCAAGGAGGATAGTATTCAATGATTAGAGTGCGTGTATCTCGAGCGATGCTGCCGTGGTGGAGAATGTCCATGTCAGAAAAAGAGATGTTGTTATTGCTGTGTTTGATGAACCACCCAACCAATATAACCCAACTCTTTTTGAAGGCCATGAGATCCTCATACCGTGACGTGGTTATCTTAGGACTGGGGAGCAATTTCCCTTATCATCCTTGTTGTAGTTCAAAGGAAGCTTGATTGTTATTATTCAGAGGGAAACATGAGGCTATATATACAACGAGAAGATCAACTTGATTGGAAGTAAAGCTGATTCTTCGTATACATGCTTCGGGATTAACTCCGATGGTTCGGCTTGGTTCCTGATCTGCACCAACCTCATATTACAGGAAAAATCAGAGAGCTATACCAAGAACCAATATAGATCGGACAAATAAAAAGAGCCGCAAAAAGAATCTGCTGAAGTCATCATTCTAAAGGTATTGATAGGCATCGAACCTGCTAGGATATGGATGCCTCCCATTCGGCTGCCTAACACAGCCATTGGCCTTTTTCTATGCATTCTTATGAATAAGTGGACGAAATCATTATAAGGCTCGAATTTCTCCCGCTAGTGCGACCAGATGCAGTGCCTGTTTCTCTTCATCTTTCACGGACTTGGTCCCTAACGAAAGAGGTGGAGATGGCCAAAATTCAACATTGGTGATTCGCCAGTTATTCCCTTGGGTATGAACTTCAATTCCAGCACCTCCATCCCGGCTAATGTCATCAACAGTGAGCCGGATTGAGTATGTGTGCGTGGTAATTGGATCTAGTACCCTCGTGAACACATAGCGGTATGTCCTGGACCGTATGCTTACTCCGGTCGCGAGCAACAAGTAACTCGTTGTGCCTAAGCACAGACTCATCAGGCAATGGCATTCGTATTGTTGCGCGCATTCTGGAAGACAGATATTATGGCGACCCGTGTGGGGATCACAAGCCCAGCTGCGCCGATGAAACAAAATGACTCCCACCCGCACACCGGTAGCCTGATGCCTGTGGAATCCACCGATATCCCACGGGACAGACTCCCATTTCCCGCAGTTTTCGCTGAGCTTCTTCCTTCTTCTTACGCTCCTCGATCTCAACTCTCTTTCGAGCAAGCCTCCTGACATGCTCCTCATATTGCCGTCGCTCGTCATCGTCCGGCATATCTGAGTGGCTATCCAGCTTCTTCCTCAAAGCCTTCTCTTCACTAATGATCTCCGCATCATGATTAATTCGTGCCTCGTGATGTTTCAAATCAGCTTGCAGTTTGTTCCAGACCTCGTCAGATACTCCTGGATCGCGAGGCCCGCTCAGGTCGGCCTCTGTTGGAGTTGCATTTGAGTCAGTGTCTGGTGGAGTCAACGGGTTATCTTGTTGCTTTGCCCAGGAAGCAGCCGTTGAAGAGGGTGCTACGCGCGGTGGTCCTGCCGTTGCTTGCATGGCAGCATGAGAAGTCGGCAGATTTGGGACGGTCGCCGTCGCCCGCAGCTGCCGCTCGTGGATTGCGGACTGGAAAACGTCACTGACCATTTCTTCGGTGATCACCATCCGTGTCTGGCCTTCCACTAGAGGACTCGAGAAGACTCTCCTGATGATAGTGTCCGAAATGGTTTTCACATCCCGACCGTTCCCCCAGCCAGGAAGAAGGGATAGGTATTCAAAGGACGCCAGGATCCGAGAGTGAAACTGGCTATCAGGCTGTCGAACAACAGCCTGATCTACTTGGTGAATCTGTCCCAGACTGTCCCGCAGGAGGACCCAGCATTGAGAGGCAGTCAGGTTCTTGAACGTGACTGTCTCCGAGAAGCGACTGGTCAGGCCGGGGTTTGATGCCATAAGGCGGTTGATGTCCTCGTCATAGCCGGCCAGGATAACGATCAGCTTCTTGACAAATTTCTCCTTTGTCAAGCAGTCCACCAGCTGGTCCATGGCCTCTTTTCCAAATGTGCCGTCCGCAAGCCGGTATGCCTCGTCGATAAAGAGAACCCGACCCAGGCCTTTTTCGAGAAGCCTCTCGGTTTTGGGGCCGGTCTGTCCCACATATTGTGCGACCAGATCTGATGAAGGGCACTCCACTACTTCGGGTGCCCCGAGAATACCCATGTCGTAAAAGACCTGCCCCATACGGCGTGCGGTTGATGTCTTGCCAGATCCTAGATCTCTGTCAGCCAACGCAGACTCTATGCCAGAACCGTGACCGAATATATGCATACCTGGAGGCCGCGGAAGAGGAAGTTGAAAGGAATCTTCTCCCGGGAATCCAAACCGAGTTGTTTCATGTTCCTAGCCACATTCTGGTAGCCCTCCAGCTGCGCAACAAGTTGCTCACAACCTACAACACCTTCAAACAGCTTCCGACAGTTGGCGACCGCATTCTGCTCCCGGTCAAAATCAGGATCGAAGTCCAGTGGCTCTAGAATGTCAATATTCTTAGTCTTCCGCGCGGACAGCCGCTGCTGGTGGCGTAGTTTAGCCTTGTCAAGAAGGATATCCACCTCACCAGCATTGCCAAAATTCGGTCGGTTACGGGCGCGACTAAGACATTGGCGAACAACTGACTTTGCCTCTGCAGTTGCGCTGAAACCGAGTTGTTTAAGCTTTAGGTTCAGTATGTCTTGCAGATCATCATCAGTGAAATCCTCGAAGTCGAATGCGGTGCTCATTGGAAAACGTCGCGAGAGGCCTTCATTCACTGTCTGGAACATTCTTTCCATCGCGTCCCTGTATCCCAGAAGCAGGACACAGCGATCATCGCCGGGGACGCTTTGCACTTTTGCAACCAAAGTGTCGATGACCGCGGTTTTGAATATATCTGGGCCAGTGCCACCGTCTACACTTGAGGACGTGCCACCTAGCATGTACGCTTCGTCGATGACTAGAACTTTGCCAAGGGTGGAGGCCAGAATGCCTTTCGTCGCGGCCTCCGAGCCCCCAATGACGTTGCCAATGAAGTCAGATGGGTTTTTGACGACAACTGACAGAGAAACAGGAGTCAGTCAACGGAAAAGCCCTATGTGAAGATAGATAGCTTGCGGGTCAAGAATTACCTTCTCCGTTTGAAAGATATCCCATGTCAGCCAGGAGCTTCCCGTACAGTTTTGCGACCGTGGTTTTGCCGGTGCCTGGATTCCCGACGAAGACCTTATTGAGCGAAAACTCCACCATGGGCTTTTCCTCCAGCTCCCGTTGGTAATTAAAGGCGACTGTGTCGAATAAGGCTTGGACAGACTGTTTCACGAGGCGGAGACCTGTCAGGGCTTGCAGCTTGTCCCAAGTGGCGTTCTTCTTAAGCACCGTGCGCGGGTCTGGACCGAGAAGATCTTCCTTCGTTAGAAGGAGATCGTCGGTGAGCTCTTTTGATCTCCGTTCTCGCTGCAGTCGTCTTGCCTGACGCTCTGTGATACGCGCGAAAACATTGTGGACGGTACGGGCGTTCCCAAACCCTTCACGACCGCGGCCGCGACCGACACGCCGTGCGACAATGCGCATGTACAGTCCATCCGGCCCATCGTCCACCCTCATTCGTCCCTTATACTTCTTGTTCATGTGATGATGGAGAATGGTACGCAGTTCCTCATCTGAATAGTCCTGGAACTGCAGTTCAATAGGGAACCTGCTGGGGAGTCCGGGATTGTGGGCAAAGAAGCTCTCCATATTCTTGTTGTATCCGGCAAGGATGAATATGACCTTTCCTGTCAAATTCTCCACCTCTGCCAACAGGAAATCAAGAACCGAGCTACCCCCCGCGTTGTTGCCGGATGTCAACTGATAGGCCTCGTCGATAAACAGGGCTCCTCCACCGTTCGACTTTATTTCGTCAAGATGTTTCTGGCACCCGGAAACGCCGCCGTTTGCGAGCTTGGAACCCGATGTCTCGATGAAGAAGCTTCCCGGGATGACACCAACAGAGCTGAGAAATTGAGCATACAGCCGCGCCACCGTAGTCTTACCTAGAGGGACATGATTAATATTCGGAAGAAATCAGCACCGAAATACTACACGAACCTGTTCCTGGGTTGCCAAGGAGGGCGGCCACGAACCGCTCTTCCAACAGACTTGCCCCCTGCCGAACGACCACATCCACCTTGGCCTTGATGGCAAGAAAGCTGTCCTTGACGCTTTCGAGTCCGACCATGTCCATAAGTATGTCCAGGGCTGTGTTTGACTGGCCTTCTTCCGTCTTCTGCCTCTCCCACTCGTCTCGTGCAGCCGACTCGAGGGTGACCTTTTCTGACTCATCATTATCGTTATCAGTCCTACCAGCTGAGTCCGTCGTCTGGGCTGATTGGGGGGTACTGAGGCGACTCGCGGCCGCAGTCAGGCTCTCAAGTTCCTTTTGCTTTTTGGCAAGAGCGTCTTGATGATCCTGGATCTTTTGTTTATTGACCAGGAGCTCCCGCTGCCTTTCGATTCTGTTTTGGATCTCCGCAAGTTGCTTCGCATGCTCTAGCTGGATCTTCCGTCGCTTCTCCTCCAGTTTGGCATCTTCATTTCTTTTCCGTTCAGCTTCGATTGCCTCCTCGAGACAGGTCGGGCAGACCTTGGGCTCTCCCCGGAAGCATTGCCAGAAGTAATCGTGATTTTTGGGGCAGGTCTTATGCATGGTCATAGTGCATTTCATCCTCTTGTGATCCTGAACGCGGTGACACCGTCGAATACATGTGTGAATCTGACATGGGAGTAAGGTCGAGCTATTATCCCCATTTGAGTCAGCCATAGAAGCAATACATATGGATTGAACGTCAACACACCATGGATCCGAACATCCTCCATCAGGACATTCCTTTTCGAATTTCTCAGGCGACTGCACGACGACCATGCGGTCTGGATGGTTCTCACATTTGAGGGGAACACCATCGTATACCTGACCATGGGCCTGGAGCATCTCAAATAGAGGCTGCCACGTGGAGTGTCCTTTTCGACTCGCTAGGAATGTACTCGCGTTCCCAATCATCACTAGGGCGTTTCTTGCCCGGGAGAGGAGAACATTGACACGCTCTGGAGCGGCCATGAAACCAATTTCCCCTACCTCATTGCTACGCGTCAGGCTTGCGATCACAATGTTCCTCTCTTCACCCTGGTAATTATCTGTCTGGGTTACTCTCTGCCGGGGAGATTAGAAGGTTGCCACGCTTACCGATGGTTGATATGCGAATAGGATTTCTAGTCACCTTTGTACTCCCCGGGATCAGAAGACCGGCCTGTATGAGATCATTCGCATCCAGGTCGTTCAGTACTGGGTCATTGGTTTTGCTCAGCTCCGTACGTAGTAAAGACAGCTGGCCCAAGTACGGTGTTAGGATCACTATGTCGTCCGTGCCGTACCCTTGCTGCCCGAGGTACTTGACAACCATTAATGTCATCTCCACCTCGAATGGATTCTGCTTGCTTGCCTTCATAGTTGGGTCCCTTCTTTCGGCATATTCATGAAGTCCACGTTCGGGGTGGCAGTGATTTACAAATACGACGTCACTTTGGAACCCACGGAGTGAGGGTCGCTTGCACGTCCTCTCCGAATCCTGTAAGTCCGGATATGTCAGATGGCGGACAAGTCGGGATATCTCCGGGCGCATGCGGTGTTGTGTTGTTAGGGAGCTGTGCGGATAGCCCTTGGAGATGAGTCGTTCGAAAAGGGAGCGGTTGAGGTCCAGTCCATCGCCTTTTTCGACAGACAAGTTGTAATTGTTGATCTTGGGGCGTAATTGCTTATGGTCCCCGATTAACACCAGCTGCTGTGTGTCCAGAGTCATGGCTGTCAGGATGTGACTTTCCAGGATCTCCCCGGCCTCCTCCACAATCAAGACGTCAGGTTTAGCGACCCGCAAAGCCGTTGCATATCGGGCGGCCGCGTTTGTTGTGCATGCCACAATTCGTTTATTTTCGAGAACAGCGCAATGTCGCTTATGATAAAAGTATTCATCCAGGTCCTTTGAGATATCATGACATCTCTTGACAAGCTCAACTAATTGAGCGGATTTGTCACGAAGAATGTTCCTCTGCCAGGTCTCTACCAACTCCCGGCGCTTGGAAGGTGCCATTGCCCAGATATAAGAGTGCTGAGGACTGAGGAGGTCGCGGAGAGTACCCGCGTCCCGCCCATTCCGCCATGCATCCCACAGATAGTGTTTTCCAACACTTCTACCACGTCTTCCAATGCGTTGCATACCCGTCGGCTCTTCGGGCACGGTGAATGCGTCAAAGAAGGTGCTGTCTTCGGAAAACTCTAGGTATTCGAGCATGTCATCTTTGGAAATAGAGTCACGGTTGTACTTTTCGGAGTAAGATTGCAGCTCCTTGAGTACTTCGTCTAGCTTTTCCCTGTTCTGGTTCACAAAGGACCACGAATCGACGCCGGACATGCCTCGAGACTGCTCAAAAAGTCCGAGCTCCTTGGTACGTGACGTAGATTTGGAACCGAGCCGTACCATGGACGTGCTTGGGATGCCGATGTCAAGGTCTTCCAGGAACTGATCTAATGCATGGTTCGTGTAGCAGATAATCATGAGGGTCTTATCTGTTTTATCGTGTAGGATCTTGGCAATCAATGCACCAAGAAATGACTTCCCAGTTCCTGTGTTGGCACTTGTTAGCCCTTGACATAACACTTGGAAGAGCGGATGCAAATTCACCAGGTGGCCCTTGGATCGTGCTTATGCTTTGCTGCAGACCGCTCAAGAGAGACTGAAGCTGTGAATCGTCCAGAGATATGTTCTTCTCGGTATCGATAATCCGATTAAGCGACTGGCCCCTGCTGGTCCGTATTTGTTCGATGATAGTTTCCAGATCTCCCTCGAATGTCAGCCGCTCCGGCGAGGGAGCTTGCGCAAGCAGTATCCTTGACAGGGGGTATTCCATCACTGACTGCAATCGTTGAAGAATCGGCTCATATGCAAAGATTGGAGTATTGACAATCACGAACGTGAACAAAAACCCCATCTTGGCGCATGCGAGAACGCGGTGGAGGGCAGAGTCACCTTGCACGCTCAAGGCGAGTGTCGGGATGTCGTCTGTGAGATCTGATGACCCACGATCTAAAGAAGCAAATCCGACGACCTCCTTCTTATTTAGCAAGCACCCAAATGACTGGCGCTTCAGAAAGTTGGGACTATCACCCAGTAGCTGCCCACGTTCAGTCTTGGACAAAGGGGATAAACGGGGTATGCCGTTTGTGCATTCGAATTGAACATTACAGGTCCTTCGGCGGTTTTCCTCCTCACCATAGCCAATTCCCCTAAAGCGAAGTCTATCGATGGGCAGGGCAGACCTTCTTCCCTTTTTCTGACCACGAGCAAGCTGGAGATCATTCTTCAGCTCTGCCAGCAAGTCTTCTCTCAACAGGCGGAACTGGTTATCGTAATGAGCGACCGGTCGTTCGTCCGCCGGAAGCTGGTAGATGTCTTCCATACGGCGGTAGAAGGGCCTCTGTGTCGCAGCGATCTCATCTGGTGTTGGGAGAATAGAGATGTCACGAAAGCACTCAAAGTCGTTGTCATGTCTGCCGCCGGGTCGATAGTCATCCTTCACGTCTAGTCTAGTTGTGAGGGTGTTCAAGATAGCGTCAATGCGATAACCGATCGTGCGGATCTCAAGGGAGAGTGAAACGAGGAATGTCCGGGCCCGCGAGATTTGCTGGGCAGTGGCAATTATTTCAGAGGCACAGCCCTGCGTAGTGATAAGTTTGAGAAGTAACCAAGCAAAACCTAGCTCAGCCTTCTCATTGAGCTTCTTCTGGGTGTGGAGCTGTATAAGGGCATTCCAGAATGTAGGAGGTTGAGTGATTCGGGAGACAATCTGACGGAGAAATTGTCCACTCCCAAAATCCTCGATGGTTGGATGTTGTATGTAGCTGAGGAACGGGGTGGCGTAATTGTTGATGAAGTCCAGCGATAAATCCAGACGGAAGCTGTTCTGGAGCGAATCGCTCAGAGGGGGAGAAGCAAGCACCCGTTCGATACAGCGTAAATGATCATCTTGGGCACAAAGAGCTTCTAAAAGTAATTTGGCATCACCTGGTTTTGTCACCTGTCTCTTTCCCTTCTCAAGCAACAGCAAGTTCCTGGAAAGTTTGTCGGAGCGCGTCGCCATTGCACGATAGAAGCCACTTATGACTGATCGCAGGGAGGGAGTTGTGTGATGATCGAGGATGAGTGAGTCGAGTGCACAGCTGAGATAGCCAACGCCGGCCAGAGCCCCGCATGCAAGGGAGAGAGATAAACCAATGTTGGGTGAATGACGAGGCTGACATGTGAACGGTCACACCATTGACCGGGGTGCGATCGCGGGCCATGCGTCGGTACCCAGCGAGCACTCCTCAATCTTGACTTTGCCCAACCCCGCCCAGTGTCATTGGTAAAAGGTCAGCTCAAGCAACCTTGATTCTCTCGAAAATAGCGAGTATTATCATGTGGAGGGTTTCGTCAGGTCGCTATCCACCCAAGCCTCGTGGTGCTCGGCGTGGCTGGTCGGGTGTCAGACAACATGGGAACAGACGAGACTCAGTTGTCAAATCACCAGCGCCCCCATATGGTCCTCTACTGGTAGAAATTGGCAATACCGAACTTGAAAGGTCAGAGGAATGCCCCCAAATCGCAGACTGCGAGGATGTCAGTTCGTACACATGGCTGGGTCGAGCTGCACCATCAATTCTCATACCCGGTACGTTTCCCACCTTCTATCGGCGGCTCTGGAGCGATAATAGTAATGGAGGTCAATCTACAAGGCGAACCGCCCATCTGGACCCCTGGAACTTAAGACCGCCAGCTGGAACCCGATCTCCTTGTCTCTACAAGCTTACCGTTCCAAGCACCAGACACACATCATCCCAGCGGAACATTCCACGGTCCACCGAGAAGCGCGTGTACAATCGAACTGCAATGACAACCAGCCCTATTGCCCATTCGCTGAGCATCTCCGCGATAAGGTTGTAGCCCATGTTTTGGACAAAGTACCACACGCAAAGGAGCCTGCGTGTGTTGAGCGAAAGTCGAGAATGAACCACGGGTTGAGGTACCGGTCTGGCTAACGGAGACAGCGTTGCATCTAAATGTCACGACATGGTGGAAACCCTCACCATACGGCAAGAAAAGAAAAAATTACGAAAAGCAGTGAAGCGAAACGATATGGTACAAATGACCGTCACTTTGCGCTTCGCATCCTGTGACACAAACATAGTAGACTATAGGTTATCCAGCGAGGTAAATGAAACACCTTCCCCGTAATTCCTTCGACTATATTGGTGAGGCTGGAGTGGAGAGGGCATATAACGCACACTAAAGCAGAGGATCCAGCGCTGGCCTTACATAGTCAGACAAAAAGGCTACGCCTCTCTGGGACTGATTCTCGTCATTGGATCCGTGTTGGGAAAGCCGCAGATCGCCCTCTCCCTCTCCCTCTCTCCGTGCTGCAGGAAAAATGCCAATCACACATGGCAGAACCCAACTAGTAGTTCTCGAACCATGGAAGAAAAAAGATTAAGCCTGACTAGAACGGCCGCCGGTCGGAGTCAACCAAGCCCTGCATTTTCTCCCTGCCTCGTCGGACAGGATGGGAGACATGCCGTGCTAAGGGGGGATTGTGGCAGGCGTCAGGATAGCACCATAATTGAGGTCGACATGAACCACTAGATGTTTCCAAATTCCTATATGGATCTATACCACCTGAGCAGTGGCAGGAGCATCGTACAGTACACTCTTTGCCTCGCCGGGGGCCGGGGGGGGGCGCGGGTGGAGGGGTGGATAGTGTGTGTGAAAGCTGAGGCCGACGGTGGACCCCAAGCACACACTGCTTGGTGCTCACGTACTACGTAGTAGACTACTGAAAATGTTTTCAAGCGCAGCTCGGGCCTCACAAGGCTCGCATAGGCTAGTTTGGAACAGCAATTATGTATTGCCCGTCATCGAGGAACTCACACAGGGAAACAATGTTTCTCTTATTTCTTTTAGGCCGGTTGCGACATGCAGTACATTTACCCTGTCTTACTGTACAAAGAAACGGAGCTAGTGTGATTTGTTACTAGTTTCCATCACCAAGCCACTTTACTCAACCATCTACGTCACGTTCATTCATTTGTCTTGTCACCTCAGAAGTCGTCACAGAAATGCTTAAGGAAGCCTCGGATTTTGCTACACGGAAATGAGCCTTCGCCAACTTGCCTGATTACAGTGTGTCGATGACCGACGTATTCACACTGGGAAAAATGAAGACTTGAAGTGCCATCATAGGCTCTCCATGCTTAATCATACTCTGCAGAGCGCCTTTGGCCCCATAGCTGCAGTATTGCATGGCAAATTATCTTCTACATAAAAGCAATAGAACCGCGCAGTATTGGATCTGTGCGAGCATTTGGTATTCCAACAAATAGAGTCTACTGGTAAGTGAGCGACAGTGGTTAACTGTATTTGACCTAACCCTTGTTTCAATGCGAGGTGCGATATACTGAGCAGGTGCTCGGGGACCAGTTCTTTATTGGGAGAGGAACGCCTTTCTCAACGGATAGCCTCTCCGTTTTCCATTCCTGACCATTCACCGAATGCTGTCACAGGCTGTATCACATAGAACAGGTAATAAGACAGGCATGATTCCGTGTTCGTTATGGCGTCTGGTGTCTTTTTTTTCTTTTATCTTTTTCCTCTGCAGGTTCACTGACGAACAGGAGTAATCCCGTGAGACGTCCAAGGTACAATTATCATGTGTTTATACACATATCTGCATCACCCTCTCAACAGATTTTGGCATGTATCATAGCCTAAACTCGATTGAAGTACTTCGAATCCTATCACCCAGAATGGTTCTTGCTCAGAAGCTGGAGACAGGTATCCTGCGAATTTCCACTCACCTCTTTGTTTGGAATTTTGAAAGTGGAGTGATGGCTATACGCAGCACTGACGTACATCGTGTGAGCTGTTAGCGGTTTTTACATGACACATTTTCCATAATATTATCTGGTTATAAGTAGGAACATAATGCTTTTTCATTCCACAATATGTACAATCATGAATTCTAAGTATGTGGAAGGTGTAGCAGGCAATGACAATCGCGCATCGAGACAAATTAGCTTCCAATATCATTTAGACTTACATGGAGGAACTTTTAGTCATAGCTTATTAACATCTGGAAAGCTTCAGAATGGCTGTGTTTGGTAGCCAAGATTGTTTCTAACGGAAGTTATATTTAGCAACAAATTCGGTCTATCGTATAAATTGGTTATTCTTCCTGCCTCAACAATGATAGATCCCTTAGCCACTAGTGCATGCCAATGGAGGAATACGCACGCCGTACTCAACTATCTCTCGGTTAATTATGCTTGGGCTCCAGGGGCCGCCCCAACTCCCACCACCCTTCACTATACTTTCAATTCGATACGCCATTCAGCCTGTAGCATCTCTGCAGGCTGCCTTTGTTCGTCTTCCCCCTCTCGCCCTCCTTATTTTCGCCCCACCATAGCCGGTTGCTACAGTCGGAGCCACCATACTCCAATTTTGGTCGCCTGAATCATTTATCATACTTTTATTCACTTCCACATGTATCCTGGCTTTCCTCGGATTACCACTCTCAAGTATCAGTCCCCTCTGTCCACTTTTCATTTTCCTCAAATAGCTTCTTTCCAAACCTCCGGACTTGCGTTACCTCCCTGTGCTTTTACTATATCGCTAGTCGGGCCACTCCTTGCTATACTAAGTCAGGGTTCACCTGTCCAGAATAACTGGACTCTGCGCTTGAACCTTTGATCATGAGACATTATGATGGACGTGGTCATTACTGCATTTGGGATATTTGTAACAAGGTGGATAGTTTCTTCTCATCATTTCCTGGTTTCCACCTCAGACTTTATCTGTCACATCAGACTAGATTCCACGCTTACGGTAGCAGGTCTTCAGTCGCAAAGCAGACCTGCGCAGGCACTACCGCATACACACCAATGAGCGGCCGTATCATTGCACTGTCAAGAACTGCAATAAAGTTTTATCCAGAGAAGTGCGTTGACGGTGCATTCGCGAACTCACACGGGAGAGAAACCTCACGTTTGTGAGGACAGAGGATGCCACAAAGCTTTCGCTGATGTACGTACTATTCCTCTCTTGCCCTTTTCTTTTAGTACTGACCACCACCAGTCGTCAAGTCTTGCACGCCATCGGAGGATACATACAGGACAGCGGCCCTATATTTGCCGGGTGTCAACTTGCAAGCGAACGTAAGTAGTAGCCCGGTTATGATATTGCTGGCTCCTAAAAATATGAAGGTTCCGCCGCAAGGAGGATTTGACCAAGCATCAACTTCGGTCCCATCCCCCGAAAACCGTAAATCCGCCGTCCTCAATAAATACGGTATCTAGACATCCTTATCCATGGCAGGTCGCCATTCCCGCATTGAATGAACGTCATCTTTCAACTCGGCAAGAAACATACCCTCATACGCAGTCACCGACTTCTGCATTCGATGCCCACCAAACAGTATACGTAACACCAGCTCCCGTATAAATTCAACCCCCGATTGTGACGCAGCCTACAATGGTCGCATCGATGGTCGACATACAGCGTGCTCAGCAATACTGCGTACAACTAGTACAGCAAAGATGGCAATATGATCATGTCTACCAGGAATATCTATCAGTGGGGTTTCAGCAACCCTATCATAGCCACCCAATGGCAACATGCCCTTCGCGTATGATCACTAATAATGTGGCTACAAGCCGCCAGCCTATATTCTAAGCCAGCATTAATGGACGCATGGGGTTGATATCTGCGCTGCGGACTATTGAGCCGACAACATAGTCAACGGCGACTGCTTCAGGCCACGATTTATTATGCGATTGCAATAAACGTGATCTTTTAATCGTGGCTCATTTATAAGTCCTATTCTGGCCAGCTGCCTCATCCTCCGGCGTTTGTCTTCCTCTGTTTTGCAACTCTTAAGTCTTATGCTGTCTGCTGTGGATTATAACAGCTGGTTTGATTACTCCACTGTATCCACCCTGCAAACGGGCATTCGTACTTGACTCTGTTTCTCCAATCCTTTGTATATGTTGAGGAGAAGAGGAGACAGGAAGTGGGGTAAATACTGTCAAAGATGCTGTTTGTGAAAGTCCTATCAGCACATAATACATTCCCTTTGGGCCCGGATGACGTGTCACCTATGGTGACAGATCCTTGGTGGACGGGTGGATGTGGTCTGCTATATCCAGTCTCACAGCCGCTGTCTACAAGATGTAACTGCAGTACACTGCCTAAGCTATTGCAGATCCTCGACAAGCTGATCATTCAATGATTGGCCTTGGTTGGTGTTTCCCCTGCAAATTCTGTATAGCTCTTGCTGGTAGGAAGAGGCTAGGGTCCGGAAGTCGATTTCTTCCCCCCCGCCCCACACGATGCGGATTGAATATTTAGACATCTACCGATTTTGCTCCTGCCTCTGAGTGCACATCAAGCTTGGCAGTTGCGAGTAAAAAGATGGCAATGACGGTAGAACTATCCTGGGAGTTGGCTGCGGTTAGCCCTTGGCTCAGCCAAGTGTGGCTTTCTGAAAGGCCTAAGACTCGTGAGAATGTAAGATATCAATTCACGGAATGGTATCTACCAAAGAAATAGAAGGTGAACTGTAGTAGTCCTGTTCTCAATGTGGGACAGATGGTCGCAGTGACCGGTACGAAGTTCCGTCTTGGCCTCTTTTCCTCGAAAGACACGGGTAGTGACAAGAGCGCCTGCTTATGTCGCATCCCCACCCGTATAAGCACCCGGCATTGGCTCGTTACCGCCAAGCATAACTAGGATAGGTGGGTTTCGAAAATGCGGTCCACTATGTGGCCGGAGGTAGCTCGTATCTTTCGGATCCGACTAAAGATCCTTTGGCTAGAGTTCCGATGATCGTTGGCTCATAAGGAAAATGAAGTTTCGTCATACCTAGGATGGGGGCACCGTAAATTATGTCTCTCTCACGTCCTGCTGTCATATCTGTCTGTATACAATGCGTTCATTATCCGTGGGACGTTCATACTGCAAATGTGCATGCGCTGGCATGTCCTGGATTCCTTAATTTGGGCGTCTTCCAGCTCTAATTTCAGGAGCTTATTGCTGCAGGTGCGGACACCTCATGAGGTCTTCGGAAGGGACGCTGACTGAAGCGGGAACTTGCTCGACCTCACTTATTGAATGCAACATGTAGACCATCCCTGGCCGGCCAAAAGTGTGGCGTGTGGATTGTAATAGAAAACTATCGCAACAGAAACTGCAGAATCACGCCGAGCATTCCCACAAAACCCTCGTGCGAGATCGTACTTAGCACAAGGAATGGATAGAGAGTTGACGTGTGCTATGTCATTGATCAGGGTAATCGGTAGTATCTGATCAGAAAACATATACATCATGAAGGGTAAGAGATGCTACTTGAATACTCTACTGTTTCGTGGACTGGATGTGCGTGTATCAGAGCTTCGTACACTAAAAGACAAATAACATGAATACAAGTAGCTGCTGCGAGACAGTATAGCGAAACTCGACGCTGGGGAATGCGTTGTCCAAGGGGCCAGCATGAGCCAGTTGTAAGGGCGAAAATTAGAGCTCTCGTGATGCCCAGACGCCCACCAATTGGTAATACCGCCCAGAGCAGAAGATCAGTTTCAGTGCGAAGGTGTATATAACAGCCAACGGCAACGATCGAAATTTATCTGTCGAATTCAGCCTTTCGTCATTCCATCGTTATTCGTATCGCCGTTCACTTCCATGGCCTCAGAAATAGCGCTAAAGATTCGTTCATTGGAAGCGTTGGAACGTATCACGGATATGACTTGGAAAATATCCTCCCGGTCAGCATGGCGTATAAAGCTTAAGAGTCGTTCTAGAAGGTCTTTGTAATATTGAAGCTCTCCGTCTAGGTCATCTGTTCGATAGGCTGCGTTTGATGATCCGCTCGCATCAGCCATTTCTCGTTGCAGGAGATCGATTATATATCGCGTAGAATGAGTAGGGGTGGAGAGTACGAGGACATTTGAATTGCGACGCAAGCCTTCTTGAGGTATTACTACGTGTACCCTGACCGACGGGGTCAGGGGCAGTTATAAGGATTATCGAAGCAAAGTGAGTTTGGATTGGTATTTGCGGCGCCAAGTACAACGCACATTCCTTGGAAGTTTAAAAGCTGGAATAAGAAGAATATGAACAAGGTTGACACAAGTAATGAAAATAATTATGGATGTGGTTGGTTGCAAGAACTACCCATGCGCAATGGGAACGGTTGGGGCGGCAGTCGTGGTAGGACGGTGGTTTTACATTGATGACAATCGAATCGACCTTGTACGAGGCCATCGCTCCTCCATCTCCTCCCGTCGTATTTTAAGAGGTTGGCACTACAGAGATCAGCCTGCTGAAGTATCTACACCACAGGATTCGGAGAAAATGATGATCGCAGTCAGGCCCAAGTATTAGGACTTTTCCTGTTTGCGGATTCACAGGCCACTAATGGCGTTGCAAAGTTGAGTGGTATAGTAGTAAGACTGAGCCTAGGCTACAGCGTTTCGTGTAAGAACACGTTCTACATAAATACTTTGGTGTGTACTGCATGCACAGCCCCCGCGAGCCGATAAAGACTAATCAATGGACACGGATCCTCTTATCCACGGACAGAATTTCCATGTTAGTCTTCCGAGTCTCAAAGTCACATGTGACGGCTTCGATATGTGAAGCGATGGATGCTTCATTGGATGGTTCCCCGGGAATGAGTCCAGAAACCCTTCAGACGATGACTAAGTGAGGGTTAACTAACGTAATCCACAATCGCGCGGCCCACCCCCCTACCCGAAGCACCTAATATGATCAAATTAAAGTCTTTAAATCAACACAATTCTATATACAAAACACTATATAACTAATAACTAGATGGTTTAGAATACTGCGTACGCCTATAACTAATAATAAAGCAATTGGTGTACCGTGGAGGCGCCCATAAGGGGGTCTCTGTAGATTGAGATACCTGTTCAATCTCACTACTAATACTACCAATCTCACTACTAATCTCTGTATCTTAATCATATTGGATAGCTTGCTGTATATCTTTAACCATAGTATCTTTTATATAGACTATCTGCTTCTTCGAGTGCCTTTTCTTCTATAATTACTTTTTATAGCTAGTACATAGTTCCTCATTCTCTTTAGTAAGTAGGATTGAATTAATTATTACAAGCTCACACCCCTTAAGAAGCTGCCGTAATATAAAGCGGGTAAGTAATGTTAGACTTATTTAATATTTCTAAAGCAGATATTCCACAGTATTCTGATACTTTGAAAAATACTTTATATTATGTAGTGTTTGAAGCACTGAGCTACTTGACTGGCTATCCAGAGAAGGTAGTATTTTAAAGTAAATATTTAACTGATAAAATACTTGATCAGGATTTAGGGGAACTAGACCTGTTGCTCTAAATCTACTGATAATATTTAATCTTATTAAGACTTGCTGGTGTGCCTTGGAATATGCTTCTAGCCCTCATCCAGCTAAACGAGCACGAAGGATGGTTCGAGGGACATTAAAAACATATACAGTCTCATGAATACTAGTAATTTAGTATTTCTGAATAGCTTTAATAGCAAGGAGGATCCTACCTTCTTGCTCAACTGCAGTTTTTGATGAGATAGCTGACTTTGGTGGCATCTGTGGTGGTTGAATTGCTTCAGGTAGGTGGTTGGAGGTGGTATTTCGGAAGGAGATGGGCCGCGCGATTGTATGGGCCGCGCGATTGTGGATTACGTTAGGTAACTTATTACTAACCACCCCTACCGTCATAGGCGATTGATTGATTGATTGATTGATTCCTCAGGCTTTTCGCGGCCATTGGCTGCATGTAGCCCCCTAGCTAGATCTATCTAGATTTTACTATACATTGTGTTATTGTATCTCGTGTGATTTATTAATTTCAGTTCAAGTGTGTTGATCTTCGGTGAATCTCCCTGTTTTCAGGGCGAACTTGACAACGGTGTGAATCACTTCCCTGTTGGGTTTCCATGCCGCCATGTTGCCATCGAGTGGTTTTCCGTCGTGGCCCATTCGTGAGGAGTAACCTCCAAGTGCTAGAGATAGGTCGTTCGGTCTTGCTCCCATGGCCCGAGTCATGTCCGTTCGTAGATGATCCCAATTCCTGCGCTGGAACAGAAAGTGTTCTACTGACTCCTCTCCGTGGCCACATCGGCATGTTGCACTGTCTGTCCGGTTGATGGAGAATAGGAACTTGTTCAACCTCGCGTGGCCTGTTCGGAGTTGGGCGAGGGTGGATGCTTCTTCCCGGTTCACGTCGTCATACAAACTCTCAGTATGCTTACTGGGCAGGGCCTTATCGATTGCTCGGGTGAACTGGCCGAACCTGTTACGGTGAAATTAGTCGATTCTCTGCTGCCTGATTGTATCTCGTGTGATCCGCCACACGGATGATGGCAACTGGATTTTCGCCCACGATGGCATGTCTTCTCGGCGGAGTGCATCTGGGTCTGCGTCGGATATACACCGTGATAGTGCCTTCGCCGCTTCTACCCCTGGTGTTTGATCGTGTTTGGAAATCCATCTCAGGTCGACTCTCATTCCTGTTTTGTGGATGCTGAAGATTCGATGGGTGATCTGGCTGAGGAGCGCCTGTCCGCTCTGTCGAGTCGGTTTGGCTAATGCCTGTAAAGCGGACTGGTTGTTGGTGAATATGGTTGTCCATATCCTGTAGGGGGGCATTTCGATCCTTGTCGTGATGCTCGAGATGTATGTTGTAGCTTCCAAGATGCCTCCCAGCTGTGTGTAATACAGATTAGTGTTCTCCTCCTGCCCAACGGTCTTCGACCATTGGAAGAAAGTTGTTTGATCGACTTGTGCTGTTAGACCAACTTGTATACTTCCCTTCTTCATCGAGCAGGCTACAAATATTTTCAGCCATGCTCTTTTGCTGCGTTGTATGCGTTGCACATCTACGGGTCTACCGGAGAGGCTGATGAAGTCCTGCAGTGTTGAGCTCCACGGGCTTAGTGCAAATGGTTGAATGATCTCCATTTCCGGTCGAGGGCTGCAGAGATCTCTCAACTTCATGAACGGGGCGCCAGAAACAACAGGGGTAGGGCGGCTCGCGGTCACCTGTGGCAAAGCCTTAACAGGTCCGGTCGATTCCACTACCATCTTCCGCCTGGCATTTCTGCTCAGACAGTGATTTTACCCGTCCCCATTGGCAGAACCCCGGCCCATAAGGTTCTGCTGCGGTGAACATCTCTGGAGTTTGCACCTTAAGCCAGCCGCACGGGCAATAGTATTATGGGCGATACCGCGCCAGGACGCTCCTGGGAACCTGAGTACGAATCAGGCATAATACTCTCCCTCTCTAGGCCAACCGACACGCGCCTCCGTCCTCTCGAGCCACCATAGGGTCTCCGCAGGCCGATCTGGCAAGATATGTTGGCGATACCACATCGCTGCGGTCCAAGTACGAATTGGAAGCATTAATGCTGGCGATACCACGCAGCGATGGTCCAGGTACGAACTGGAAACATACCATGTCCAGTGCCCTCTGGTCACCGCTATGGTGCTACGGCCCGCTACTTCCAAGAAGCAGTTTCCCGTTACTGCTCGTGGTCTCCCTCGAGCAGCCGACCGCGTCTTGCAGAGGCCCTCACTAGCAGCACCCAGCCGGCATGCTGCTTGTGCGGGTCGGCCCCTACTAACCTAGCTCAGTTCCCACCATATGCTTTGCGACTCTGCAGCGGTGCGCTGTCTCTGTCCAGGTGACACATGGTTCGGTCTCGGTGTAGGCCTTGCCCTTAACACATCCGGCAACCACTGACCTGCCAGGCTTAACAACTTCCATTACTTCAGAGAGCACTTAGGCTTCGTTCTAACCCTCGCTGAGGCAGGCTGCATTATCTCTCAATATCTCTTTTGGGTTTCCTGCCTCAATCCCAGAGCTAGCTGAACTCGAGGGTGCCCTGTCACTCCGCCAAAACGGCTTCGTGTCGGGTGGTTTTCGTATCCCAGTATCCCCCTGGCGATCAATTCGACTCCTTGTGGAGCTCCCAGGCACCCTTTCAATAGATCTTGAGAGGCTTCTCGCATTTGCCTCGACTAGTCTTTCAACCAGTCGCCCCACGGGTGTGGGGAGGATTTAGCTGACGTAATACGCCAAGAAAACGCGTCGTGTCGCGGTTCGCGTGTCGCGTCAACATGTTTCGCGTCACATTTCCAAGGTGACTGTGTCCCTACCCCCTTTTCCCCAAGGGTGGGGGAGCGCAGCGGGGGAAGCGCAGATAGAGAAGGGAACGAAGTTGAAAAGAAAACGAAGTTGAAAAGGGAACGAAGTTGAAAAGGGAACGAAGTTGAAAAGGGAACGAAGTTGAAAAGGGAACGAAGTTGAAAAGGGAACGAAGTTCCCGTCATAGGCGGTGGGGCGGCTTCCGCATAGTAATCGACTATGATAGGCTGGGACGGCGAATGAAAAGACCGAGACCGAGACCGAGACCGATTTCGGATTTCGGATTTCGGATTTACTCATACACCGTCCCAGCCACTCATGAAACCGTGGCTATGCGGGAACTGCTCCGCTGCTTGCTAGGCAGCTTCGCAGTTAGCTACATTTGCTATGTACATATTTCTGCCTTCAATATGCGCCTTAGCTGAGGGTTTGACTCCGCCCAGATTTAAGTCTGGGGGTTCCCCAAGCCCTCTCTTGATCTCTGTATGCCCAAAGACCTCAGTGCTCTGCCTGATCTATCTCCGCGTTGTCTACGGCTCCGAATTGCCCAAGGAGCCCAGTGCGTATCATAAATTTGGCTACTCGGATTGCTAGCTTGGGCGTGTTTAGGATTTTCTTCACACTTCTTTCTCCTTCCGGGCCCCCAATCCTTCTGCCGAATCTCTCTTCCCGAAGGCTTTTGAAAAGAGGGCAGGCAAGGTGTACATGTTGGACTGTCTGGGTTGCTTTGCTGCATTGACAGTCTGCGCCTGGTATGTCTGGCACTCCTCGTTGGTAGAGGTAGTGTCGAAGTCCTATCTTCCCTGTGCGCAGCTGGATGATGGTCGTACTAAGTGCCCGATGAAGGCTCTGGTGGACCCTTAGTACCTTCTTTGTCGGGGTTGGCGTCAGCTCGTAAACCGTCCTGCTGTTTGGACCTCTCGACCGCCTGCTGTCTCTAGGAGGTCTGCATTGTAAAATAGATAAAGTATTGGGGAGAGCGGAGAGCCTTGCGGGATTCCCACATCGACACGGTACTCCTCCGATTCCAGTTCACCCATCCGTATTGTAGTGGTTCTCTCGCTGAGGAAGCTTGCAATCCACTGTACGGTGTCTCTGTCGATGCCTCTCTTGCGCAGGTTGTGGAGGAGTCGCTTGTGTGAGACATGATCAAACGCACCGGAAACGTCCAGGAAGAGGGCGCTGGCGATATGGGATGGTGCCATTTTCCAGGTTGTGTGTATCCTCTCCAGTAGGAGGTGGATTGCCTGTTCTGTTGAGACTCCTCTCCTTCCCCCCATGTGTTGTGGTGGTAGGAGGCTGTACTTTTCCACTGCGTAGCTGATTCGCCTCGCTATGATCGACTCCATTATCTTGCCTAGTGTGTTTAGAAGCGCAACGGGGCGGTGCGATTTTAGCTGTCCGTAGTCGCTCTTCCCTGGTTTCCGGAGAGTGACTGTGACAGATTCGCGAAAATGACGGGGACAGTAGTGGAGCCTGAGGCAGGTGTTGTACAGGCGTTGGAGAGGCTGTGCTATATAGGGAGTGATGTTATGGAGTAGGTGGCTCGGAATCGTGTCCTTTCCCGGCGCCTTTCTCCCGGGCATTCGCTTTATCGATCTAATGACTTCGTTGAGAGTGACCCTTGGGAAGCACAGCGGGCTTGGGTATCTGTAGCCCTTGATGTCCTCTAGGTCTACTTCCGGGGGAGGTGGAAAGAAAGCTTCTCTGAACAGCTCCAGTTTCCTAGCTGCGTCCGTTTCCATCTGCCCGTCTGGTCGTTGGAGTGGTGGTATGGATGTGGTGCGTGGCTCCCTGTTCCGGGCCCATTTCGCCAGCTTCCAAAGGCCATCTGGGGAGTTCGTCGCTTCCTTGATTCTTGCTCTGTGATAGTCCCGTAGTGTCTTTCTGATGAGTCTTGCCTTATGGTTTCTCGCTCGACGGTATGCTTCCCAGGCTTCAGGTGTTCGTCTACGTTGGTACTGTCGCCTTAGTCGTCGTGCGAGCTGCTGAGCCTCTTTACATTCTCTTGTCCAACCCGGGGTCGACCGTGGGCTAATTCGTGATTTCGGTGTTGACTCTTGGACGGCTGTCAAAATTGCTGACACTATCCCTTTGGTAGCGCTGTCGATGTCTTCTTCCGTTTTCAGCCCGGTTGTGGTGGGCATATGGCGGTCCAACGTCGCGTAGAGCTTCTCTCTATCTGTACGTTCCCAGTTCCACCGTTCCGAGGCTGTTCTGTTCCGGTTTGGCTTGGCCAGTACAGTTTCCAAGGGGATGTGGTCAGAGTCGTGGTCTAGGTCGTCCCGTGGGCGGCATCGGATAAGGCTGTCTTGTAGGCTTGGAGTGGCCAGGGAAAGATCTATAGTCGTTTCCGTGTCCCTTACCCTGAACGTGGCCGTTCCTGGCTCATATAGGAGGCCCAGCTGATACTCTTCTATTATCTGGAGGGCCTCTTCCGCCTCGGAGTCTGGCGTTTGCACCCTGAGTCCTCCCCAATAGGGATGGTGCAGGTTGAAGTCTCCTACCACAATTTGTTCCGCGTCTTTCCACCGGTCTAGCACACTTTGTAACGTTGTTGTGGCGCTGTTAGTGGGTTCGAGGCTCGGGACGGGGTTGTAGACATTGTGAAATGATGATGGTTTCCTCATGCGCACCCCACTTTAGCTCCAGTGGCCGAGGTCTGGTGTGTAGTGTGTGACTGTCCAGTGATGGCTCGCGATCCTTTTGTTTACAAATACACAGACGCGAGTCTTCCTGTGGTCATAGTAGGCCACTTCGAGATGTTGAGGGATGGGATTGTGGGTCGCATGGACGAAAGGGTTTCGCCATGGCTCCTGGATAGCCAACACATCGTAGCTTGTGATTTTTCTGTCTCGCAGCAATGCGGCCATGACTTTGTCCCGAGACTTCATTACATTGTACTGCAGTATTGACAGAGTTGGTCGTGCGCTCATTGTTGGCTGGGGGTGAGTTGGAAGAAGTTCTCTAGTGTCTGCATCTTCTCTCCCGGGACTGCTTGGTCGCGCGCATTCCCTCTTCCCAGGGTGGCATTCACAGGCCTTTCCGACAGAGCTGAGCGGCCCTGACTAGCCCTTGGGCTTCGGCTTCTATCCCTCTGGCTACCCTTCTGGGGCGATCGTGTTCGTCGTCTACGACGTGCCGTTTGCCATTCATCCTCTGCCGCGCGTGTTGATGGCTGGATAGTCCTTCGGAGGTCATACTGATGAGATTGGCTAGCGGGCAGACTCAGGGTCGGTGTATCGGTCAAATTTACTAGGTCACTTCCCCTCTCAAGCGGATTCGAAGGCCTCTCTACGCCTCCGCCGGTGGCGGTTCCAGCAGCTGCTGGTCTTGATTCGTCTGATTCGTAGTGAAAGATAGGACGGGTCTTCCGGGCTTGCTCTATCCTTGCTTGCTCTCTCCGTCTTCGCGGGCAAGCGTTGCTCCAGGCAATGTGTTGACCCTTACGCAGCACGCATTTGGGCGCGGGTTTCGGGTCAGCGTCCCTCGTTATGTATTCCTTGGTATTGTGCGCTCCCGCGCAGTGTCCGCATCTCTCTTCGGCGTCGCACTGGGGTCCGATGTGGCCATATTCGTGGCAACGATAGCACTGCTTGAGCCTGCATGACCGATTGTACAGGACGCAATCGTGGTGGATTGCGTTCAATACCAGTCCCTCTCGGATGACCCAGTTAGCGTGGTATTATGTCGTGAATTCCACGACAAGGGAGGAGGCTGCTTTCCTTCTCCCTTCCTTGGTCAACCACCTTACGTAGGCTACCTTCGCTCCTTCATGGAGTACGGCGTTCTCCGATTCGATCTTCTCGATAGCTCTGTCTTGATTGTCGGTATCAATTGAATCCTTGTCGGTGCGTAATCCGTGGACGATCACTCCATACGTGGGCTTGATCACTCGTGCGGTCGTCCCGAGAACCTTGACCCATTTCCTCTTCGGTGCTCTTCAGTGTGTCTGCCTCTGCCGTGGTTGCGGTGTGGAGTAATACATCGCCGCTTTTCAGCTGCTTTGCTGCTATGACGCGTGGAGCTTTCCCAAGCAGGTTTATCCGTGATCCCAAGGCATCGTTCACTCGTTTGCGGAGGTCCTCCGGCGATATCTTGCGGAGAACGGCCGCGGAATTTGCATCGAGTTTCACTACGGTTTCCCTATCCTTGACGCTTGCGGTTGCGGAGGCTCTGCTATTCGGCGTGGACGGGTACGAGGGCGTGCCCGAGCGGACTACATCCGCCCAGGAAGCGATTCGGGTGGTTGCATTGGGTGGCATGGGAGCGGGCGACGCGAGTACATTGTTGACAGCATTTTTAATGAGGGTGATGTCCTCTGCGATCGGCTGCAAGCTGTTTAGTTTCCCCAAGGTCTCCTGTGCCGAAGGTTGCCCTCGGGTTTTCTTAGCTAGTTTGATCACACTATTCAGAAAGGCTTCCAGGGATTGGGCTGGTAATTTGGCGCGTTTGGTGTTGTCAAGCTCCAGCAGTGCTGTGGCCTCGGCTATGATTTGCGTGGCATGCTCGAGGTGGTTCAGGGGCTGGATCCCCAACACTGGCCAAGTAGTCCCACTAACCATGACTTCTGGGTATTGGGCGATAGTCAGAAGCACGGTTAATTAATAGATTGAACCAGGTTTAAGATCAATTAAGCTTCTCTTTAACGAGAAATTCCAAGAATTCGTTCTGAGCTGAGGGGAGTTGTTTTCATTCGTTACAGTAATTGACACGGTCGGTGCAATTGATAGTCCGCGGAAAGAAGCTACCCCAAAATGACCAGATTTACAGTACCGTACAAGTGGAGTTGCTTGATGCGGCTCGGTTCGTACACCGAAAGAAATAACGTTAGCTGCCCCATCTTTACAAGCATTTCCTTCATACGCGTATTGCTGAGGTCCCACCGCCCTCGTTAGCCACCGTTACGTACCATAAATATTTAAGGGAGAAAAATCATTGGCCTAGAGAGTGCCCGTGGGACATTCTAAGATGCCAAATCAAGGAACCACGGTGTTCGTATCACCAGAACATATTGGGGGTGGAGGCCGAAACGGTGAAACCTGTTTTCAGTCATCTGAACCTTGCAACAATAAGTTCAGGCTACTATATCCGTGGGGTCTACTCCGTAAACCTGCAAGATCTTGACACAAGCTATGACGTCACCTATGTGAAAGCCCTAGCCCTGGACTTGTTGATAGAACGAACCCACCTCGAAAGTGATAAATTTCGGACACTGAAGATCACTTCTACCCAAACAGGCCAGGAACATCGGAATAACTCACAAAGAAGCTCTTCAGAAAAATGTGCAGCAGTCCGTTGTCTCAACTATAGCAGCTACGCCGATTTACTAGGAAAGACTCCAATAACGTACGGAACCCGATTTCGTGTGGTTCTGCCGGCTTTCGTGTATTATCACCATCTCTTCCAAACCGCTCACCAACAATTTTCGGACGATGGATCTTTATCGACAGAAGCGTCCTTGTGCACAGCAGCGATCAATATCTGCTGATAGCATACGTCAGAATCATATACAGCTTATATACGCGATGTGCGATGGCAATAACGCAAAGGTATCACTGCAAGACGTTCGAAGAAGAGCATCTAACCCCATTATATACAGGTTACTGCACAGGTTAGTGCACAGTTGAGGCGACCATTCAATCAGTCTTCGAAAGGTATCTATATGCTCGATTGTAATAACACATACATGGCATTCAACGGAACGGAAGCAACTTATCACCAGCACCTAAGTGCGTACCATAATCTGCTCTTGCGGGCGGTTAAGAGTGTATCAAATCGCCCATCAGCACAAAATTTGGAGACTACTACAAAAGGTAGTTAGGCCGAAATAATGTCTAGGTCTCGCTAACATGGCTGGCCCACATACACTGGAAGCGACTTTCGAACATATTATCTACGTGTTACACCCTACACCATATTGTACCAAATATGTATGCACTGCAGTTTATTTGTCTGTGGTTAATTATATTACAATCCATGCAATCTATTGATGAACTTTACCAAGTGATGATGTGCTTGCACTTGGTCGAGATTATATGTTATAAGCACTTGAGTTATGAATATCCACTGACTACTTCTTTGCAGTGTGCCTGAAGTTGAGTTTCCACGAGGGGTTTCTCTTAGTAGCATTCACATGAAGAAAAGGGCTTTGAGGTTGAACATCTACGTTTAGGTATAGAAATGGGTAAACCTCGCCATATTGCTGTTTTTGGGTACCCAAAACTCACGGGGAAACCCGCCAAGTACCTCAAATACATACAGCAAGACTATAACTTTCTTGACGAACTTGGAGCCTCGTCAAGGCCTGTGGTGGCCAGTGTCTGGGGTTGTGTTTTGCTGCCCTCGTGGCGCGCGACTTCGGAATCTCTGCGATGCCTCCGCAAAGTCCAGGACCGCCCCGAAGATGCTACTGTCTTGCGAAGCATCTTCTTATCTACCTTCCCTGCCTTGGCCTGCTCCTCCCAGCATATCTGAAATTCTAACGCTCCCCAATCTTCCATTGGAGGAATCAGCGTAGCACAGCCGTGTGCAGTCGAATAGTACATGGACAACGGTTTCAGTTGCTCCATATTCACATTTCTCATTGTCTCGGAACCCGCGTTGTTTTCCGTGCGTCGCCAGCAATGACTGGCTAGTACGGAGTTGGGTGAGTGAGTAGACTCGATTTCGGGGGAGCGAGCAGTAGAGCCGGCGGGTCCGGTTGGCCGGCAGAACCAGATCAATGCGGCCGAGATGTCCTCCATTTTGAGAGGTCCTCCATTCTTGTTGCTGTTCATCGCTAATATCCTGGCAGATGTACCCTTTCTCTCGTGAAGAATACGTCTAGAAGGGCGTCTGCCTTTTCACTCCCCACTGCGTATTTGGCTAGTCTATCCGCATTGCCAGGGTCACCACAGTGGCCCGGGATACACTGTAGTCGCAATGGGATCTCTCGTGCCCTGAGCTCCCCGGCTGAGTAGTGGATCGCCTGAATGATACGCTGACTTGATTTGTTCCAGGACTTTTTCATGACCCGCAGGGCCGACCTGCTGTCACTAAGAATTGTCGCTTGCTCTGGATCTATTGCCGTAGACCTTTGGTTCTTCTGCGCCAGCTGAAAAAACCAGCCCGATTGCATAAGAGGTCATCATTAGCTCGGCTGCGTAGACGGACCAGAACTTTATCAAACCAATGTTGACTTGTCGAGACCCTATGATCTGCTGGTTGTGGTTGAGAGCCACTGCCCGCGGCCCCAGCTGGTTCTCTCTGCCCAAGGCGTCTGAAAAGACTGTTAGTTTGGTTATGGCCGCTCTTGTTAAAGCACTGGCCTATGCTTTCTCCCGATCTGGCTCGATTTCGATATTTGTAAGAAATTGGGCCTGCCAAGGTGTGGTCTGGGGTCAATTCTTTTCTAGGCTTGCAGCTTATTGAGGTTCCTTGTTCGCAGTGTCTCTGCCAGGGTAAAACGTGCCGTATTGCCGATGTGGGTACTGCATACCCTTACACGTCTGATGACACCATGGACTGGATGGTCTTTCAGTAAGGTGCTAAAGCGAGATATCACAATTTGTGCCTGTTGCTTGTGTCGCATGTGGGTGGGCAGCATGTGGGGTTTCGACTTCGAGTGCTGCCGTAGATACTTCGGAAGGTTGAAAGAATCCAGGTGAGAGCTGTCCGTTGGACTGTCTCGAGAAGCCTTGAATGGGTCTTGTGTTGAAGTGGTTTATGCCAGACCGCGGATGCGTAATCCAACACTGGTATCACATAGGTCTGGTAGAGCTGGCGCATCCGTTCCGGCCGAAGATGCCGTTGCCCACTCTTCAATTCACAGGATGTCCTCCTCTTAGATTCCTTCGATATGTTCATCCGCTGATGAGCTGATGAGTCAGCGGAAAGTTAGTCATCGATAACGTAACCCACGGTTAAACGGCCCACACGGTTAGGCGGCCCATCCTACTATCCCATATAAAAGATGCTTTTTTAAATCTATTATATCTCAGCGAATACTGTATTTGAGTGGTTCTAATATTATAAATTCAGAATTAAATTTTTCATTTATATCAATAGATCTTATTTTTATATAATACATATAAAATACAGGTATTGTATTATGATAATCTATTATATATATTTATAAGATTTTTAGAACGTAGCTAAAGATTCTTTATACTATTTTCAATTCTATATATCAAAATTCATGTCTCTTCGACTTTTGATGGTTGAGATATCTTATGTTCAAAAAGGAGCTTTTGTATAGTATTACCAGCTGGGCCGCCTAACCGTGTGGGCCGTTTAACCGTGGGTTACGTTAAAGGCCAGTGCCCCGCTGTTGCTGTCGGCCGGTTGGTCAACTAGGTCTGCTTTATAGACTTCATAGAGGATTTGTGAGAGTGAGATCTCTGGGCAAGACCTGCAGGGCTTGCTCTATTTTCGTCCTGGCTTGCCTCCATACTGTTTCTCTGGAATGAGTTTATGTTCCTCTGCCCAGTACGACAGCCATCGGGCCATGACAGCCTCCAGAATATTCCCCAAGGTGTTGAGTAGTGAGATCCGTCGGTATGCCCCCAGGGCTGCATAATCGGGTTTGCCCGGTTTCCGCAGTACGACAATCCGCGCATGCCTCCATTGTCTGGAATAGTGGCCCAGGTCCACTGACTTCGTGATGATCGTGGTGATACTGTATTTGAGGAAAACCACAGGTGTTTCCAGACAGGCGTGGGGATATCACCTCTGCCAGGGGCTGTAGTCCTCTTGGCGACTATGAGCGACCGGTGAAACTGTTGTTCGGTGATTAGTTCCCATGGTAGCTCCTCCGCGGGGTTCATCCCTTCCTCTGGCTCAGGTTCAGCCATTTGGGGGGAGAAAGCTTGCAGGATTGTCTCAGACTTGTTCCTGTAGATCGGGAAATCACGCCAAGGGGCGATATGCTTGGGGTAGAGTCGGTTCAGCGGGTCGGCCGCGTTGCCCTGAGTCATGAGGGTCGCATCTGCTTCAATTTGGATCGCCTGGGATAGAGAGCTGTGGCAGCGATCGAGGAGGCGAAACAGGGTGTTGGGTTGCACTTGCCGTTCGACCTCACCTCGTGCCCGTCCCTCTTCCTCCTCACGGCGCTCTGCCGCTTCTCGCAGCCTTTGTTGTTCTTTAACCTGACGTCGTGATTCCGCTTTTGTTTCCTTCATCCCTTGTCAATAGGATTACTCGATGTACATCGGACTCAACAGCGTTGGGGGTGGGTTGTGTTCAGCGCGCGCGGGAAATAGAGTGCGGAAGAGCGTGGCATTGAAGTCATTGAATTACCAGCTAATTCACCCCCTTGGCCGGAGTCCACAGTTGCCTCAGGCTGCAATACGTCGTTTCAGAGACATTCTCCCCGCCAAATGCGCCGGCTTGATGATATCTAAAGTTGCCATGTAGTAGATAGTAAAGTTCCATAACTCTTCCGATCCTTAGCAAATGGAGATATCGTAGCGGGACGACTCTTTTGATTGCGTCACTCTCGATACCCACAATCCGTTTAATGTAAGCACTAATGCTTCCATTATACGATTTTGCTGAGATGAAGTATGTAATTAAGCATTTAATCAGCAAGAATTCTTTCCAAACAGAGTGAATTGGCTTACTCCTCTCGTTGAATGCCTGTTTGCGTGACGACGCTATTGGATGATCTAGATTTTGCGGGCTCGACACCGTGCAATTATCGCCCATTGGGGCTCATCAACAAGTAGGGAAAAGCCCGTTGTCCTTGTCTGTTTTTTTTTTGTCAAATTACACCGCGTGGGTGCCTCCTTGCTGTGGATTTGCCGGCAAGTACTTCCTCTTGCCGATCAATTTGGCGGCCAATTCGCTTTATGCTACAGCTTGGGGTCCCGAGTAGTGTGAGACCTTTCTCGCTAGTAGATGACTATCAAATGGGGACCAACGCCTACCCTTTGCTATCGTGAGAGAGCCCATTGGCGATGAGAAATGAGAAACATGATCTGGCCACTGTGTTTGAGTCGCTTTATCGTAGGCATTTCGGTATCACGTTCCCGACAACATTCGCGAGACTTCCGAAGTCGACCAAGGCCCTGAAATGGAAGTGACATTGAAACTATCCTCCAACGGAGTCGCTCTGTCTGCTTTGCTTGAAAGTGTACATGGACGTAACTGCGCGGGGAGGCCACATCTTGGTCATGACCACCAACGTCATCAAGCAGCTGGATAACGCTCTCCTATGCCCAGGGCGCATTGATATGGAAACTGACTTCGGCTATGGCTGTCTAGGGACAGTTCGCACGTCCTTCACGCAGCCGCCACCAGGGACGTCCTGGGGGTTCTGGACGCAGGGAAACAGTTTCGCCCAATCCCTTGCCAACTTTTGCGGAGTAGACGTCAGATTATATCGTCCATCTATCGGCTATATTCGCAAAGGATGTCCCACCTTTCGGTACTGTGCAGCAGGGGTTCAGAATTACATTTGGCAGTACAGAAATCGTCCTATAGGAGCGGTCAGCGATGTTTTTGGCTTCTCAAGCAGACCACAACCGCACTCCCACTTGGACATCGATTGCAAGAAGAACGTATCTTCATTTCGTTCCTCTGGCTCACCAGATTGCTTGTGTTCAACGGCCATATCCATAGCATCTGGGTGAGTGTCGTGATCATCTCCCAGGGCAGAGCGCACAACGACGAGGCAAACAGTCAGCCCATATCCTTTTCCAACATGCTTGAAATGATAGCAAGTCTGGATTTTGGGACCGTAGTTGATGTGGACACGCGTAAAGCGGAGACGCAACCTATCACGCGTGCTCGTTAGGAGAAACACTGGTCTGCATTTATCCGATATTACTCACCCGCTTCCCGTCAAACGACGGAGCCGATCAGATGGCAGTGGGGTGTGACACCGTAATGGATGTCCCTCTAAAGTCGGCGCTTCTAAATTCGATAAGCCGAATCTTTCTGCCTACTTCGGGCAGGTTTTTGGACTCCCAATCTAACAGCAGATTGCGTCGAACCACGAACACACGAATTCGCCTGGACAAGGGAAGAAGAGGTCCGGACTGGTATACACAGATTGCAGGAGAGAACATGAGCATGCCGTTTCAGAATCGGTGGAGAAGAAGCTGTGCAGTAAGAATTCCATAGGCCAATCTCGGGAGAAGAAACAGAATATGTTCCCGGCCGGATTCGCGGAGGATGCATCCTGCCCAATCTTCAAAAAGAACCAAAAATCTATAGAAAATTGGTCGCTTACCTGTAGAAGCACCTCCTAAACCGTAGCTCGTGGCAACAAGTCAGAACGAGCACTTGTTGTCATTTGGTGGGTACGCAGGCTTGCTGCAACTCCCACTCAAGCAGACTAGTATCTGTGAGTAAGGCTCGGGTGTACTGTTGAAATATCTCCTGCCCCAACAATGCCTTATCCTCACTGGGCCTGGAGGTGTCGACTCGGCCTCAAACCAAGTCAGCCTTCTCACTCCAGTAAGAGGACTAGGGAAGCGTAGGAAATGAAAAGTCACATCTATGGCAACCTCTTACAATACTTCGAGAAAGAGGATGGTTAGAAGACGGGACACTGTCGCACGAAAGCTGGCTGCCGTTGATGGGTCCATGAAGGTGACTTTATAGACCACGTACTTCCACGCCAAGCGTGATGCTCTATACCTGATTAGGAACACTATACTAGCCGGGCAATTCTGCAGATATCAATGTCCCGCAACTTCTCATGGCACGTACCCGTTCCAAAGAAGACGGTTGAATGGAGTACCCGACCATGCCCACCCGGTGGAAGTTTTTACCACTTTTCCACCAGCTACACCGGCCATTTCCCTTGGTCTGCAGGACATCCAGATCCCGAGGTCCGGGTTATAATAGACCGCGATCCGGCATCTCAAAGGGCCCACCACATTTTGGATGAGAAACAGACGGTCACCTACAAGTTCGCCGATTCCTACCAAGCGTGATGCCGTATGATGATGGTAGTAGAGTGATCGGGCAGATTTGGAGTGTTCAATTTGGGTGTTCAGGTTTCGGTACCCGGTGAAGATTCGTCGAAACGAACGGGCAATTCGGTTCTATCCACTCCACCGTTCGCGTACCAGCAGGGAAGCCGTGGTTTCAGTCAAACACAGCCCTGGTTGGTCATGTTTATGAATTTGCACCTTGTTCGAATTACATATCTACCTTTTTCTGACCCAACCGGGCTCTGCTTTTCGCAGAGCCTGGGTAGAGTACCTTGTTGGTGCGAGGTCTTTCACCCAGCTACCAGACAGGCACTCTTCAAACGGACAATCTTCAGACGGACACTCTCCGAGGGCCTATTGTGAACTGCCCTCACCCACTTGAATGGGCACATCCTCTGACTGAACATTATACTTTGCCGAGTCACTTGAGATGAGGAGAGATTGGAGGTTGATTATTGCCTCCATGGAAAACCCGCGCATCAATCTCGTTGATATAACCGAGGTCAACATTTGACGGTGTTTCCGAGCACAAAGGCTTCCAACAAGAGCTTTCCTCAAACGCCCGGCCATCTAGCTGAGCTAACCTAATCTCGGTACTGTAGCAGGTCAAGGCACAGAATCACAGTCGATTATGACTGGGCTCGCGTCTTGTGGTCAGAAATTCATCAATCATCAACAGTCAACGCAACATGACTACTCATAATAGTATGTGATTAAATTCAGAGAGTACAGAGTCGGGCATTTCTATCGCTACGAGCACAACCGCCTGGCCCTCAAGATAGCAGTATCCACCAAGGCAAAACACAGCGACAAATTTCTCTGTTGTCCTAACCGACAGGCTCTCGATGGCTGAGATATTCTGTCTTGAGCACACGGTACCAGCCAGTATGTTGCCCACCGTTACCCTCAGTTTACCATGGCTACCGATTCTGGTCGGCCAGATTGCATGGAGACATTCAGCGGTTCTCTACCCCAAGATGGAGATCTGACCCTTTCGTTCTGGCCTTATCCATCCATAGAGTAATCCGGAAGGTCATGTTTGATTCTTCACTCCCTCGCAAGCACAGTGTTTCCAAGACCACAAATAGCGCAATCACACGAGATCTCGAACCCCAACCCTGCTTTGCCTTGGGCGCAGCATGACTCGGCTCCACGCTAAAGAGAATTGACCAGGCTGGATGCGACCATGCGTCTTTCAGAATGTGATGAACGCCTTTTGAGGTGCCTGATCGCGGTCGATGGGAGACCCAGTGGGGGAGCTGGATGACCTGCAGACCAGGGCTAGGGCAAATGAAGCGGGTCACAAAAGGGACAAAAGGAAAGGAAACGATAGAAGTAAAGAGAGTGAGTGGGAGAAGTGAGGGAAATGAGGTAAAGAGGCAAGGAATGGTGAAGATCTGGTCAAATGATGGCGAGAGTTGGGAAAAAATGATAAAGGAATCACCGAGTAGACACGGTCAAATATTTGCGATGTCGTCTCCGGGAACGGGATGCGCAATCTGTGCGGGCGCATCACTTCACCGCCTTCTGGTCGGTCCCTCTAATTAATTGTTGTTGTCCTGGGCATCAACATTTGCTGGTGCTCGGGAAGGCCCGGGACTAGTCCTTGTGAGGAAGCTGTCCAGGGGATCAATTTGAGACAATATTATGTCCTCGGTTTTCAACCTCTGAGCCAAGGGCGTAAAGCGAGAAGACCAACACATGGGTATACTAAAATTTGTATATACTACTGCCCTAGGCTACTACAAATGTGATCCTTGTCGCTCGCGATTGTAATCATACGCATCAATGGTCTATATGTTTTGTACATAAATGGTCAATGATATATAAAATGACCAATTCTGGACACTCCAGCGTGTCCTGCACAATCGGCTTTTCGTAATTCTACGAGACACATACGAAACCAACAGGCGCGCCAAGATTGAATATATTGCCCACTCTAAGGGATCGCTCATCAAAACCAGGTCAGCAGGTTGATAATTTGCTCAGCCTCCGATGCCTCCAGTTCCATATGATTCGAGGTCGAGCATGGCCGTGCTGGGCATTAATTTGGCGGGCGGATACGACCATGAGAATTCGTCAAGCCAGCAGCATTCCACCCTAACAACAAAACCTTTTATCAACCCAACCCCACCAAAAATGGGGTTGTCGGGATGTCGACCAAATTGGGCAACATATATGGAGAGTACGTATGAACTTCTTCCTCGATTCTTCCTTGCTCCATTCCATCGAGGACAGCAGCTGGTGAAAGTACAGCATACAGAATTCTATTCTCAGATTCAGTCATGCTTCTTGCCATGGTCATGACTATATGGGCATTGTCTACCGCCATGGTGAGCACACGCATGGCCCAACCCTTGAAAACAGACCGAGTAGTTGGGATTGACAGACCATATGTAGATATGGGGACTTGTGATTCACCAAAGGAACTCGGAGTCGTGGAACGGTCAGCTGGTATGGCAATGCAAATGACCACTTCTAGATAGAGGGGGCTGACCAATGCCAGGAAATCCGCTCTAGCACATCGAACCATCCGTGTTGCGAAGCTACCGAGCTCGCTATGAGGCGTGAGTTGGTATTCTCTTGACGCAACCTTCACTAAGGGATCATTTAGATGAATCGAACAAAAGACGGGGCAGACGTCTTTGCAGACCGCACCATGCGCACCATTCTCATCGGTCAAACTAGCCGACCTGTAAGCCCCCAAGACCAACCCAATACCCCAGGTTATTCTCTACAAGCTGTTAATTAACCAGGTGAACTAGCAAGCCCATGATCCCGAGCAAACCAAGGCCGGGCTTCTCGAGGGCTAGCATGTCCATTCTTAGAAATGCGGTTACACTTTCCCTGACGTAGCGATCAACGTCCGGCTATCCTTCACAATTCCCCACGAACAATAGTCAGAAAATTCTTCCTTCAACTGCCCTTGTTGTGTTAACCTTTGTGGTCATTGGGACATGTCGTGCTTTCAACCAAAGGAATGCCCGCGGCGGCTGTAGGTAGACCATATAGTTGCACAAGCTTCCTGACACACTCACACAACTTCGGACGGGTCACCCTTGGCTGGCAACGTACCAGAAACAACATGGGTTCCAGGACGATGACAGATGTATCTGTGGAGCTCGTGAGACGGTAGTCCACGTACTGGTGGACTGCCCGAAACTCAGATACCTGCGACAACAACTGCGGAGGAAGATTGGAGCTGCGTTTAGCAGCATCTCAAACATGCTAGGAGGGCAACAAGGTAAGGAAGGTAAGGCACAAGACGCTGAACAAGATCACGGCACCCTCGGGGCTGTACTGGACTTTGCAGAAGCGTCCCAGAGGTTTCAAAGTCGCGCGCCACGGGGGCCGCAGAACAAAACACTAGGCGACTAGGCCAACATAGGCCTCGACGAGGCTCCAAATTCGTCAGGAAAGTAGTGGTTCAATGTATATAAAGGAATATATAGAGATAGGTAGATAGGGAGATCCTGCATATCGCTTTAAATTGCGAGGGGTCAGAGTATGAACACACACACACACACACACACACACACACACACACACACACACACACACACACACGATCGTCTAGTAGGCGATTTCTCTTCCACGACACAGAAAGCCATAACTGTCTTAATCGCTGAGATTCGACGCTGATATTCCTTCTCGACAGTAGAACCGGGCATGGTGAGAATGGTATGGATCAAATTCCATAATAAGAATATGCAAGACCTTCATTCAAACCAGTGGAAATCACGTAATTAGTGGACTCAGCGCTTTGATCATTTCCTGCCAAACCGCCTCCCCTCGCTAGCTATCATAATATTCATGAGACTGTATTGTCCCTAAAACCCGCAAAGCGCCAATATAAGCTGATTTGATCCATCCTCCCCATTAACATCTCCACAGTAAACAAGATAACCCCACCCGAGCCTTGCCCCTGCAACGGCAGCTTGAGTCTGATTCACATAATCTGGAGGGAAAACAAGACTTTGAGTTACCGCGCCTTCAATCGGAATAAAGATCTTTTCCTGACGCTTAGCGTTCTTGACATGAAGAACCTTCATGCTATACGGCCCAGGCAACGAAGCTGCCTCAATGCTTTCGGGCAAGAGGACCGATGGATTAAGCCGGAAGGTTGTGCGATGATAGTCGCCATTTTTCCAGGCAAGGCCAAAGGCCTCGAAGAACCTCCTGAACTTATCCATGGGCGTGAAGTTGGGGAAGTGCAGGCCGACTATGGCAATCCCGCCTTTTTCGACCTAAGCTTTTATTTAGCGAGCACTTCCTGGTTCTCTTGATTGGATTCGGCAAGGCCTTCGTCTGTTATGATGATTGCTTTGAAGGTGGTCTCGCCGATTATTTGAAGCGCGGCGTTCGCGGTCTTCGCGCGCTTGATGTTGGCCAATTCTGAGAGCCTGCTGAAGAGCGTGCAGTAGACTTCATCGAGAAAGTCGCGATATGCGAGAGAGAGAAGAAGAATTCGGGGTCTCTCGGCTGAGGCCATTGTTGTGACTCTGGAGGCCGCCCGTTTGTAGTTTGGGCCTTAAAGAGGGTGTTTAGTAGAACCTACTTAAAGGTTCTACTAAACACCCTCTTTATATTAAATACAGCTTAACCTTGATGGTTTGGTCCAGCCCCTCCATTATGATTACAAGCTAAGCTGGAGGGTGGCTTTGGAATTCCTAGGTCTGCCTTATTCGGTATCCTTTGCATAATCTTCGAGAGGAAAGAAGACACTAGTGATTGGTGGCCCCGCATCTTGTGACGTGGTCATCTATCCTTGACCCATGCAAAGCTGACATTTCCTCTCGAGGTGCCTCCCAACTGTTTATTCCCGTCGGAGATTATTACATCACCCCCTTCTGCGCCAGTAGTTCGTGTTAAGAAGTCGCATGGGGAGAAGGCGGACAGACGGATCTTGCACATGACGACACAAAAGAAAATCAGCTGTGGGTTCCTTACCGAAGTCTCCGCTCTAAGCCTAGGCCGGACAGGTCGGTCAGCGCAACTTGGCCATGGACTATGCTAACAGATGGTAGACGGCTACTTGACTTACTCGCACATCGCTGGAAAATTAAGGTCATCCAACTTTTCAGGGGCATCAGTCGGAGGTCCAGAGGCTCATCCTGTCAAAGATGCGATGTGATTGTCATATGTGGACTAGCGTGTGACCTAGCGGGGTAGACTGTCGGCCTGAAGCGACCGTCAGCGAGTCATTCATCAAGCAAGCTCCATACCCCAAGATGCCTCCGCACCTAACAACATTTCGACTATCTACAAATACGCGCGCCGCGGAAGAAGTCATTTTCAGGCCTGCGGGAACATTTCGAGACGGAGGCATTCAGAGGGATCCCCAAGGACGAGGTATACGCCGAGAGCCCGCTCGACTCTGATGCACTGGACCGCCTGAAACCTATACTCTCGCTAGTCTGTGACGGCGTGAGTACCCGACCTTTACTCATACTCACTCTCGGGGCCGTCTCCTGACATTACCGTAGCCAGTGCGCGTATTACTTTCGAGGGTCATGAGAAAGACAATACTGCAGGCCCGTTTTCCATGTCTGGGACGAAGGAACCCGCCATTTGCCGTAGCAGATCTCTTACTAGGGAGCAGTAGGCAACTTCTTTGCGAGCGTCCCAATCCATTCTCGGTTAATACTATGATCTATCTCACTAAAACCTCCCGGGTGCACTTTGATCACTGCCAGTCATCCATGCAGTAAACCTGTGGCACAAATATCATAGTCCATGCCCCCTTTGTCAAGAAACACTGGCTGTAGAAGGTCTTGTACCTTTCACAACGCATACCGCCAAGGGAGAACTCCGACCAGCCACTTTACCAGGGAGCAGAAGCAGTGGAATCAGGATTTCAAGGAGACTGTGTACCAAAACCACCGGTCCTTGTTTGGCAGCGGCACCAAAAAGGGTACAACGCGCGGCAAGGCCACCAGCTCTTGACAACGAGAATCTCCGCCGGCGCTGGAGAGATGGTTGATCCACGGCGAGGTTTCTTCTCCTCGGGTCGCCAGTTGGCCGGGGAAACCCACCCCTGGAATCTGGAATTGCTCTAGACAAGGCGGGTGAAGGTAGAAGAAACGTCTTTTGTGCGGGCCTTCTTGAAGATAAATCCTGGAAATAGTGAAGGGAAGAGTTCAAAGTTGTACGGGACGTCTACCACGCCAAATAAGCGCTGTACGTAGGAGACAGATACTGTAATAGTCCGCGTGGTTTCCCGAGCGGGCTGGATCAACGTTAACCCACGCGTGATCGGGATGTGCGCTTTGATCCCATAAGGGGAGAACCCAGAAAACACCACGGACCTGGGCGGCTGTAACTCGCCCGGTTTCATTTCATGTCTCCGGCGTATCCCCTGTACATTCTTCCCTTCCATCGCTGTCCATTACTGATTACAGTAGTTACATGGAAATGGTGGAGGTAGACTGAAATTGCTAGCGCATCCCTCAGCTTACGCGGTTCCTATACGATTGTCTTCGTGAAACTCCAATGTACTCATGTCCCGCGCAGGCCAATGGCGTCGAACAATCGCGTCAAAGCCTCTTACCCACCGAAACGTGGTGGAAATAGAAGGCCAATCTCCCGGTGAGACTGGCCTACGGCTTGGTAACCGTAAATAGGCTATTCAAGACTAGATTGACGGTTGGCCTCCATCGAACCATGAAGACCGAGGCGTCACTGACGCCAAGTGTCTCGTGTCACAGCATGGGACATGGGAACAGTATAATGCGGTCCAGAAAAGAGCTTAGAATGGTCAGTTTACATTCATGTCACATGGAGAAGAGTGATCGTTGGCTGCGCTAGATTGTGCTTGAGCGGTGGTGATGCCAGGGATCAGGGCCGTCCAATGGCTGTTCTATCAAGATCGACAGGCCGATGTCCTTTTCCGTTCCAGAAAAATTCAACCCGAAGTAGCCGCGAGAGCGGACCACAGTCATTCTAGCCCATATAGCAGGTCCTGGGTAGCTTTCAACGCGAGACAAAGGGCGTTCAGGTGTCAACGCTACTGAACCGACTAACTCTGTCGGCAAATTCGGCCCAAGTCCCGCCTCTTGGTGCAGTCTACTTCAAGGTACCGAACGGCGAGGCACTCCAGCCCCGAGCCGATCGTTGGCCAGAGATTATGCGCATTCGGTCA